AAATAAACACAAACACATCGTTTCTTCCAATCCAATTGGTCACAAATGAAAGAAGAAGAAACGTTAAGGGATTCTTCGCTTGTTCCTGGATTTTTCATACTTGTCGTATGTCCTGACTGAGAGCTAGGCTTATGATTCAGGTTTGTGTCAGAAATGAACCGGATTTGCCGGCTCTAATATGCAGACGTTTTTCTGTTGACTACATTAAAAAAGATTCAGCTATCTTTCCGTTGAATCTACCTGTGTATATAATCAGAGGATTCGACAGAATTTCCTCAAATTTTGGAAAATAATATACTTCAGGTTTCCCGACTTCCTTCTCAGGTATATTGGTCCAACGCGGTACAACGTATTCCATTCCAAAAATTCGTTACTTGACACCAATTCCTTTGTTACGGCCGAATAGAATTCTGTTTATTTCCCCTTTTGTTTAGACACTAATTTATTAAGAGCTACAAAAGACAGGAAATTGTGGAAAGCCATGATGGCAAACATACTGAAAGGAAAAAAAAGAAGGAAGCTTATTCTATACAAGCCTTGAGAGAAAATCACGGTTCATTTTTGCTCTTGAAGTATTTATGCAGAAGAAAGTGTATGATATGAATGAAAGTGAAGGTGGAAGTGAAGATTTTGAGGATAGAAATGAGATAAATCGATTAATCATTGATAATCTTATAGTGTTAAATAAGCAACCATGTGGGAGACTGTTCAACAAAGTTGAAAATTGGGAAAAATCTATATGTGAGGAAGGTTTTATTTGGACTACGCAGGTTATGAAGTTAAGTTGACTCCGTGTCAAAAGCATGGCTTCTCGATGTAAACATCTGAACTGGTGAACCTAAAAAATGGCACTTAGCTGAACATTGGACATGGATATTTCTGTAGACGGATGGCACCTTGATGCCAATATAGTCGGGGACAAAAAAGAAAAAAAAAAAGAAAAAAAATATCAGAGGAGTTATCATGAAAATATTTGCAGAAATGACAGAGGGAAGCAACGTTACGTCGATGAGAAAGCGACTGAATTCGAGATGCAAAATCCGGATCGATTAAATTAGAGATATTATTTTTTTTAAGTTTTAGTCAAGAACCCTCGAGATGAGTTGCATGGACACCTGGCCAGATATGGCAACAACACGGTAGATTTGTAAATATGCAAAGTGGAATCTGACGGGAAATCATTTTTCTGCCATGACACAGTGACTCAACATTCCTTGCAGTAAATGCAGCGATTGAGTCGATGTAGTCGCACAACTTCAAGTCATTTTGTAAACGTGTGGCCAGGAAGGCGATGCGATATTTTATAATATCACTTGTTCAGATCGATAGTGAAGTATTGTCAATAAAATTACTCTCAAGGCGGAAGTATTTATATCATCAACAAGCTGTCAGAAAACTTCACCAGTCACGATGAATTATAGAATTCACAAAGACGATCCTTGTTTTGCGGGTCCATTACAATTAGGTTCTCTCCAGACTTCAAGTTATATATATAAATGGTCCATCTCTAAAGAGGCAGTAAAATATCCGACACCTTGTACCACCCTAGAAAGTACGTAATCTATCAGTTTAGACCCAAAATGGGGTCTTACTGACTAATCTAATCTGGAGCTACCCAATCTTCATTTTCCAGACTTAAAAGAATTGAATAGCCCCTACACGGTCTTGTAAGCAATGTTGACCTCAAAATCCCTTCAAGTATTCCACTAGCTAAACCATTTACAGCTAAAAGAGTATTAATTACATTTACCAGCCTGAATGTTGGAGAAATTTCGAGAGAAGATACGATGGATCGTAAAAATCGTCTAAGATTGTGTTTATAAACAATAATTTGGATTTTTGGTAACCAGGCACTTTTCCGTAGCTTAATGGTGTAGCACTTCAAATCAAATGGTAGTTTCCGTATAGGAATACAGGTTCGATCCCTTTGAAGAACGCATAAATTCTACGAAATTTCTCGAACATGACCGGTAAACGTAATTGATACTATTTAATTAAAAACAGAGCATTTACATTATTTAGTACATATATATATATATATATATATATATATACATATATACAACACACACACATATTATATATATATATATATATATATATATATATATATATATATATATATATATATATATATATATATATATATACTGACTCTCTCGTTGAATTCGACGTATAAGGGTCAGGCAGATCAGTTCCTAGGAAACCGACAGCCCGACAAAAGCGCATGAGATTTGATTCTAGTGGTGAAGGCTTTGTGCAGAACCAACCACACTTTTTGAAGGGCCGAATACAGAGACCTGGTGCACTAAGTGCCACAAGGTCCCCAAACGACCCTCCGCAGGTTTTGAATTCAGAGTTGTCCTTCTCCTAGACAATCTGCCATCCAAGGCTATAGAACCCAGTCTTTCCAGCTATTTACCCATAGCTGGAGGGAGAAGAAGAGTATTCACACTTTTCCCGTGCTAATATATATATATATTAGATGATATATATTGTGAAAAATGTATGAAAAAGTGGCATGTGTTTTCTTGTGATGTATTGCGTCCATCAGGACATTATCGGACAAAGTTTGAGATGCGCACGAACCAGGGATGCTGGGAATTGTGAATTTTGACATTTAATGTTTTTCTATTACTTTCCACCACTTTTGATAGTAGATTTTCCACACTGTCATAATAGAATTTCTCCCAGAAATGGTGAAATATTGTAAGATCCATGGAGCAGATTTACTGTAAATGACTTTGTGATCAAGGCAATCTCTAGATATTTTCGCTGTAGTGAAATATTTCCTCCTTTGATCAGAGCAGCATGTTTAACTCAAAATTTTAGTCAGTCTCTTAATGATGGTCAACCAACGTATTTCATGTATTGTTTTGTGTTCATATAATCTTTTACTTATAATCCTAGTGGTTTCCCCTATGTATTTTTTGTAACAATAATTACAGGCGATAGAGTAAATTCCTCCTTCAGGTTTAAGCTTATTCTTTTGGTATGATATTTATATGTGATTAATTGAATGTGACAGAAAAAGGAAAAACATAATAATCTAATCTAATCGTTACAAATAGCAACACACCTATAAAATCAAAAGTAATAACGACAAATGTATATCAACAGAATTATCGATTACAAAACTGCATTTCTTCTTTTAAACTGATCATCTATACCGGACATACAATCTGTTGAAGCAGATCAAATCACTTAAATGATATCAGTGCCATTTAAAAGAATTTTGAAACCCACAAACTATATTCTTAATAACAGCGGCATTCTAGATAAACATATGTGTCAGTGGTAACAATTGTAGAAGCTTTTTATATAAAACAATTCAAGCCGAGCATCAATTTCATCTTATTTAGGCTTACGTCTATATAGCTTTGAAACAAAGATTCCCATATCGTCAGCATCGCGGAACCTGATCAGTACCTAGGTGGGTGACTACTTGGATATACCAGGCGTGTAAGCTTAAATGAAAATGTGCGATTCTTTTATTTCCAAATAGTGTACTTGAGACCCCAATAATTAGACATTTTAACAAGGAATTCATTGAAAATTTCTAATAAATTAGACGAATTTCCTATGGGCAATAATCATTACGGTCAATTTCTGAACTTTGTTATTCCTTTCAAATAAGAAAAATATGTAAAAATATGAGTGAAACTTAATTTAAAAAAAGCAAATGAAGTATAAAAGTTGCTGACTAAATATACATTGTGGGTATATGATATCGTATATTGTATATATATATATGATATCGTATATTGCATATATATATATATATATATGATATCGTATATTATATATATATATATATATATATATATATATATATATATATATATGATATCGTATATATATATATATATATATATATATATATATATATGTGTGTGTGTGTGTGTGTGTGTGTGTGTGTGTGTATTGTTTCGTCTTACACGTCCTTCCCGGTAATGTAAATCCAGAAAATAGTTCCAGAATGTAAGAATCCATTTGATATAAAAAAAGATATATTCATAAAGTTAGGTATGTGTGTTAGTATGTTATCAAGACTTTTTTTCTCTTTGCTGTGTCTCTTCACGACTTTGACAACCATGGCTTTCGAGAATTTCCTGTCCTTTGTAGACTTTAATAAATGCAGTCTTTAGGAGTAGATAGGTTCGCCTGTTGCGCGATTCAAACTCTTTGCTTGTCATTTGAACAGAAGTAGAGGTTTATACGTTGTTCCATGTTTAGGATTTCATTTTGAATCCCTTCTCCTTAAGTCATCTAATTCAGTAACCTTGCTTTGGGTGAAATACTCAAAATTAATATTTCCCAAACCATGCTCCACTATCCTAGGTATTTTATGCGTTGTATTCCTCTGTCCCTCCAGCATTCAATATCTTAAAACTGGTTTCGACATCCATTTATTCAAGCTCTCAAAGTAAGTTATACGTTGTTTTACTTCATCCCTCTAGGTAGAATCCAACAGTGTTATAAAACTTCCGGTAAGAAACCTCTAATCATTTGTTAGATACAACAGTTCAAAGCTTAATCTAACAATTGGTCACTTTTTGTGTTAGACGATTTGAACAATTTTGCTGTTACACCTGGTATTTGTGTGTGTCTGTATATGTGAATGTGTACATGCGTACCTGTATATATCTTAAGTGTACATATATGAAAGTGTGTCTGGTAAGTAATTCACAGAGATAAGTGTTGATGATTTTAAATCTATTATACTTCTGGGAATCATGATTTGACGTGTTGATTAGAGCGCGCGTACAAAAAGTGAGACTTGCTTTACAACTACCGGAAGTCGAAGGTTATTTTTCGTGTTGACAGATCACGCCTAATCTCCGCTTTGGATGACAACGCGGGACAATTACTGGGTTTTCCTAATAGTAACATAATGGCCGGACGTCTTGGTCTCCAATGAGGAAGCATTTCAAAATTATTGCCCGACGAAATTATGTGATCATGGAACGATTTGCGATTGCCGATGGCCTCACTTGATTATGTCTGTCTTAGATGTATCTATCTATCTATCTATCTATCTATCTATCTATCTATCTATCTATTTATTCAAACACACACACATACATATATATTTATATATGAGGAAACATAGCTTTAAGGTGTGTTATACTTACGGAATAAAGTGATCAATATCAGAGATAGAGCGTATGTAAATATAAATATAAAAGTGAACATTGAAGTCAACTCTCAGAGGCGACAGGCTGTTTCATGCTTGGCGCAATCACACCCTGACGATTGCGGGTAGCATGAAACATCCTGTGGTCTCTGAAGTGTTTTAATACTCTTTTCAATATGTGTATTTGCTTTTAAATGTGAGCGTATAGTATTCTATCTCAATATTCTATACAATGTTCACTAACCTGTATAAGCACGTTAGACTCACGGGTATTGAAAATGTTGTGGATTCCGAGATAAATTCGGTCTCCAATGAAGGACAAACGCAAGAATTAAATATAAGAAATAAAATGTATTTACACAATCATACAAAGGATAATATTATTAGTAAACCCAGGAACGCGGTTAATAGCAAATACAGATAGATATATACAGTCTCAAAGTAGGACTTCCTTAGAGTCTACGTGCTTGTAACTGACTTCTACAAGAGGTTACCTCACTCTATCTCCGTTCGTATATTCTCTAACTGTTCCCGTATATCCTCTCTCTCTGACTGTCTAACTCTCCGTTGGAGACGCCTGCCCTAAGCATAGTTTGTATTTGTCCAGCATCGTTAAAGCCAACCCCTGTCATTTACGGCAAATATAGTGTGCTGATATTAATTAGTTTCATGAACAGAGCCTATCATTTGGCATGATCAACAGTTTTCACAAATCCAGTACAATCAAACCCTCCCTCACAATGACGTGAGGCTTCATAGTAACACTGCCATGTGTTTTAATGCCCTTTCAAAAGGTGTCACATGCTAGGATCGCCTCTTCGGACCGATAGCATCAAAAGGTTACTGACAATGGTGAAATTCGAACCCGGGTTTCATCTTTGGAAAACAAATATTCTATAAAATTCTGCCATTCGACCATATTGTTAATAAGCATACTGCAAGTGCACCTCCACACTCTACACATATTTGGGAATGTATATATGCATATATGTACCTTATATATTTATAAATACTTAATAAAAGACTTGTATAAACGAACGCACACACGCAAACACGCACACACACACATATATATATATATATATATATATATATATATACATACTTATATATATTTATATATATATGTGTGTGTGTACACACACAAACACACACATACATTTATACACACAAACATGTATATATATATATTAATAATATACTTGTATAAAACGCACACATACACGAATATATATATATATATATATATATATATATATATATATATATATATATATATCGGATCGCTATACAAAAGCTTTCGTGTTTCAATATACGTGTTTGTGTGTGTATGTGTAACTTTTAAAAGCTGACAGCCAAAGTGCCAAATTGAAGAATATTCATCTGTTTGATTGGCAAGAAAGGACAAACCGGGCAATACAACACTTGGCCTTTTCGAAAATTTCCAGATACCGATCATTGTACCAGAACAACGGTCAAAGAAGGCCCGTCCAAAGTGCCTTTAAACTAACGATGTAATCGAATATGATTATATTATGAACATCATTTGCATTATCTCTTTTTTTTTCCTAGTTAGGAATCCACCAAGATGAATTGCATTTTAAATTTTACTTGCTTTCATATCGCAAAAGAAGTCACAATTACTAATTTCTTCCTCAGTTTAAAAAAAAAATGTTACAATAAAATAGTTTTCTCTTTAAAATTATTAAACTAACAGATAGAAATAAACACTGCATTGTGACTGACATTCCTTTTGACTTAATTTATTATCAGACCATAGAGTCCTTTCTGATTCTATATAAATCCCTTCACGATAATGATCTCTCTTCCGCTACAAATATAGCAATTACTGGAAGCGTAAATTTGATTATTGGAAAAAATATGGAATTAGCACACAAAGAGCATATTCTCATTGATCTTTATTTATTTATCAATAAATAAAATAATGAAAATAAAAACGCAGAATTATTTAAGTGTCATATGGGATACACAAATTGGTGATCATGTATCTTTCGATTCATCACTCTCTAGGGAGAAGATTTTCCCGCAGTAGGTTGGCGTTTCTTTCTTCATTAAACTTGTAACCAACCAAAGATATAGGACCTAATCTGCCCTGCTATTCAAGACACAAGGGAAAGAAGATATGGACTCATACCGTTCCCAGTGATATTTGCGTATAAATCAATGCAACTTCCTCGATCGAGATTCGAACTCGTCTCTCAGAATATATCTGTTTAATAGCTGAACATCCTGGCATCCTAAAATACCTTGTTAAATTATTTTTATAATTTTACGAAGCCAGCCAGAGAAAAAAATATTATGAAAATAAAAAAAGAAAACCAAAAAAAAAAAAAAAAAACGCAATTCGTCGGCAAATTAGAGTAATAGATAGCGGCTCGGGTTGGGGAATCGGAGAGCCGATTTCGAATTCTAATCGAATCCATTACATTCACTTACTTGCTAGTAACCTTGGGAATGGTATGAATCATCTTCTTCTCCCTCCAGCTATGGGTAAATAGAAGGGGAGACCGGTTCTATAGCCTTGGATGGAAACTTAAACGCAGAAAGAAATGTCAAACTACTGTAGGAAAAAGAATGTGCTCCGTCAGTCATGTATCGAAAGATACATGATCGACTAAGCGTGTATAACGCATTCCACATAACTGACTAACTTAGTTGACCCTTCGAGCTTTTATAGCTGCCTTAATTCTTTCATGCAACAAAATATTCTTTATCAAATTGGTTCCATCGCATTCGGCATAATAGTTAATAAAACTTTTTCACTGGATGGACCCTTCTCAAGGACCATTTCTTTTTAATTTCTACCATAAATTTTCAATTGGATTTCAATCCAGAATTTTCACTGAATATATGTTTACTGAAGAATAGCTTTAATTCCTTTTTACTCTGTTTCAAGGTGCATTATCGTCCAAAAAATAACTTCATCATTAGCAAATCTATACTTCGGCAATGGTATAACAATCTTTCCCAGAAGTACAATGTACACATTTAAATTGATTGTTGTAGTAATGATTTCTATTTATCTTGGATAGTTAAATGACATGCAACCCAATATCATGAATGATTTGAGAAATTTGGTTTCTTCTGGTAGTAAACTTTATCTTCCATTCCATCATTATCAACTTAGCCAATGCCGACTTCTGATTTATCACAGAATATCACATTATCCAAATCTTCTAAGTGACTTGATTGTTTCTCACTTTACACATAATTTAGTTCTGCATCAGTTATAGTGTTGCTATTCGTTTGGCTTTTATGTATATAAATCCCATTTAATTCAGCTGGTTTCTTAAAGTGCAAACACGAACATTGCTTCCTGTTTCAATCCATTCGTTTTCTTGTATATTTTCTATTTTACTGGAATATTGTTTTGAGTTTTCAATCCTGATGTTTTCATGGATTTTGTGGTTTATCAGCTTGAATTCCTTTTTTAACCTTCCCATTTCTGTGATATTTGCATAAAAAATTAGCTAATCGTATGCGAATAACCATCATCTTTCGCCTCATTACACTATGGATTGATTATCTTCTTGCATGAGATTTACGATCGTTTACATTGTTTCAGTTGACAGTTCTTTTGTTGGAAAGGTGATAAAAGCGAGTTATTGACGGTGAACTGCCTAATTGAAATAAGTAAACGTTTTCTCAAAATTTACGCAGTTTATTCGACATACGGTAACCTCGATGAGCTTCTCTTTCTGTTTAAATTGTTTGTCCGAAAGCCACTCAACATAGAAGGATTACTTTTATTAAGACATAATAAGACCGTATTCGTATGGCATACATGAAACAGTGGAAGCTGACAAAGGAATTAAAAAAAAAAAACAAAAAAAATCGGTCAAGGTTGAAATGCTTGAATCTAAAATACATAGCATATGCAACTTCAATATACGGAACCGTCATATAGCCTGACGTGCATTTAACCGATTGGCCACAGAGGAGCGTTCGGTTAGCAAGGTCGATTTTACTGTCTTTAAACTACAATCTTCCATGATTCTCTCACGTACATCCATATCTGCTCATGGCGTATCCAAATGTAAACAAATGACGTCACACATTATGAATTAGACAAAGTCCGACAATTATTTCAAGACATTTATATATTTATACATTCTTTTTATAGATACAAATATTTAAATAAATGTTCTGTTTATAACAAACGGTATTAAACATCATTTACCGGCCTGAATGTCCGAGAAATAATTGTCGGACTTTGTCCATTTCATTATATATATATATATATATATATATATATATATATATATATATATATAAAGAAACCACCTAAGCCAAAATAACCGTCAGAATGGTCTACCCATAGTGCACCACTGACTCGTATATATAAAAAAAAGTCGAGAAAAAACAACACACATGGCCTGACGATTGCGTCTGTTATGAAACAGCCTGTTGCCTGTGAGTGTTGAATTGAATGTTGACTTTTATATTTACATACGCTCTATCTCTGATATTGAACACTTTATCCCATAAATATAACATGCCTTAAAACTTAAAATTATATTTTTTCATATATATACATATATGTGTGTGTCTGCGTAATTGCTGTGTTCACAGAAAGTTAAAATATTAACTTTCAGATGAACATGATGAACACTACAATATTTGTTTCGAAATGACCAAAACCCTGATGATGACATTGTGCTATGTCGAAAATTCTCGGAAAATATAATATTTTTCAAAAGGTTATTTTCTGTATTCCTTTACTAATAGCATCAAACAGCTTGTTAATAAATGCGAAATGATGCAGCTGAAAATAAGTAAACAAATTTTGCCTTAATTATTCCATGAAACATGTATCAATATATATATATATATATATATATATATATATATATATGCACACACACATACAGACACACGTGTGTGCAAGCATTCTCTTACAGATGAAAACTGAAATTGGTGTATTAATGTAACTTGAAAAGAATTGAGCGGATTTGTAATCAA